CACACACACACACACACACACACACACACACACACACACACTAGTGATTGCACAGTTACCTCCCATCTGCCACATAATCATTAATTAATCTCAACCCCAGTACTGCCCTCCATGGGACCCTTGGCCTTATCTACAATGTTTTCTAACAGACAGTTACAGTTTGATGAATTTCCCTGTTCCTCCACCTCATTATCTGTACTTTGCACGCATTTTTGGTACAAGATACTGTACAAATACATTTATTGAAGTCCCAAATCGATAAGAGAAGGCTTCGGTCGCCACTCGGCAAACATTCAAAATTTCCTACCAACTGAAAATGTTTACTGTGTCCCGCGCGCTCATATGCAATTGCGAGCGCCATAAAACACTTACCAAAACAAAAAACAAAAAGACTTTCTCTCCCACAAAGCAAAGCACAGTCCAACGGCCGCCATCAATAGAGCCCAGCTCTCTGTACAGTGTCATGAGCCTGCATCTCATTATCCGCTTCTCCTCTGTAGGCCTCTGTTGGGAGATTATTATGACACTACTACGGTCACAAAGAAAAGCCTTTAGGCCTACCCCAGACACTCAGAAACTATACAGAGTATACTATGCTTTTTCTTTCCTCATCCTTACTATCGGCATTTTCCTCTATTTCTTTTGTATGTTTGTCACTCTCTTGTGAACTGCTCTTTCCGGGGTGCCTTGATAGTCGAAGCAGACTTTGTGCTGTTGAGGCTAGAGAGGTGAACAGAGTAAGCCTGATTCCCCGTTTGGACTTCTCTGTAGACGTCCACCTCTTGGCGCTCACGTGACCTTAAGCAGTTGCGAGCGCAGAAAAAAACCTTACTGAAACAAACAAGAGTACGGTATACGAACGTGTAGCCCAAACCCCACAGGTTATTCATTATTGTAGCTAGCCATGTTATACTTTCGTAGTACAGGTTAGTAGAAAAACAAAGGTTTATTGTGGGTTTTACGCCCTTATCAACACAGTTAGGATACTTAAGAGGAGAGACCTCCGCATAATTTAACGTCCGTCTCCAATATGACTGAGTCAGATGTGGTGAGACCTTTGTAAACTCTACTTTTCTATAGCAGCTGTGTTACACCTTTATCTGTGGGTTCAAACATTAATTTGTCTGACATACCAGCTTGAGAAGGAAACAAGTGCACATCAATACCATCACAAAACCCCTCTTCCAAGATAAATAATTATATACAAAGAATGCTAACCTCCCCCTCTTTACCATAAAAAAGCAATTGATCGTTGTTTATCTAAGTCAGACTACCGTCTGCCTATCTTAAACCACGAAAGGGGAATCAGGCTGTGCTAATCCCGAAAACTTGCACACGGGACCTTCGAGTTTTTTCGCCCCTATCCG